ATGTGAGCAAAGAGCTGAATTTTCCAATGAGCAGTACTGAAGGGAAAACAAATAAAGGGGACCTGTGCTCATGCCAGAACCATGGCCAGGAAGGCAAGTGAATGGATAGGTGCTTGATACACATGCTGTGTTCAGGACCTGGGATGAAAGAAGGTTGGAAGGATTTATGGGGCTTGCTAACACTATGATGGGCTCTGAGCACATGGAGGAGAGATGGGAAAGAAGGCAACAGCTGGTAATGTTATAGCCAACAGACTTGCTAACCCTTTCAGTAGACACATGAGAGTCAAAATTGTGATGGACAGCTAAACCCATGTTTGGGTCCTGACATTCTTTGCCACTATCTTTTAATCTCTATTTTCACCCCCCAATTAAAATAGTTCAAGTGTAGATTATTTCGGTCCACATTTTCTTCTGTCCCATCCTTAAAAATTTCTCTATTTGGCCTTCTCATGCACTTCTACAGAATACTCAAAAGAAGAGTCAGTGGACCTGGAGTGGGGAGTGGGAAGTATTTATTATCTCTGTCAAGTGCTATTACACAATGCTGATATGCATCTTAAAATATCGAATAAACTGATAAAGTGTTCATATGTCGTTTCTGAGAAATGTAGTAAGCCAAATGTGAACAGTTCTAAAACAAGAGCTGCCAAGTTCCATGCACAAGCCAAGGGGAGATTTGTACAGAGCTGAAAAAAGCTTAACTGTAGATTATTACCCCAATGCTTTGGGCCTTTAGTACCATGACTTGCGCTCATAACATGAATAACACAAGAAGGGGACATATCTAGATCATTTGCATTCAAGAGTGGGGGTCAAGTGCTAGGTCTTCCTATTTCCCTGTCTTGGTGTATACCTTATTTATATTACTCAAAAATTAAATATTTAACAAGTTTATAGTTTAGTTTCTTCCTTTGAAATTGTCAACTGGGATAATTGGGGAATTAACAAAGTTATGCTCTTAAAATAGGGAATACTTTGGAAATCTCATTATAATAGAAATGTAAATTATTTGGCTTTTATGACATGTATTTTAACTAGCAGTCACTAACATTAACACCAAAACAGGGAATTTCTAGAGTTAGGGGGAAAAAAAAAAGAAAAACAAGATAACAGCATGAAAATATGCTAAACCCTATATTAAAATATACAAAATTATTGGAAATAGTTTTGATTAGTAATGATGATATTGCTCAGTTTTAGGTGAAGGGACAAATTCAGATGGTTAGTGATTTGCTAAAGTCTACCTTGTTGGATGGTTAAAAACAACAACAACAAAAAAAAAAAAAACCAAGATTCAAACCCAGATGGTTAGGTCCATAAATGTATGTGTTGGGCAAACTTCCTCACAGAAGAAAAAGTGATTCTATTTTGCCTAAGATGTTTTTAAAATCTCAAGTTTATTTTCTAAATATGTGTTTTTCAATAAAATGATTTTGTTCCGAATTTCTTCATCACTTATGATATCAGCAATCTACCACACCAGATTCAATAACTTGGTATAATGGAATATATGGAATTCATTTCTGCTACAAAGGAATAAAAATTATGTTAAAAGTATTTCATATGGTTTATTGCTTATTTGGTTAATAGGGGTTTTTAGTTGAAATTTCAGAATCTAGAAGCTATGTATGACTTATGTTTTATATATTGTCGGCACCTTCCACAGAGTCTGGCATGTAGAAGGTGCTCAACAGATGTTAAGTGAATTCTGTTATATTCCCAGTTGTCAAAGGCTTAGGAAGAATGGCTTGGAATATGGTATATTTCTCTTCCAAGAAAGAAATTGATAAAAAAAATCTTGCATATGTTGCAGTCCTTTGACCATTCTATAAGCAACTTTTACTTCCCTGTGGCTGAATTTCCTTGAATGTGAAAATTTTACCCTTCAAGAATGGGCAGACCTATGATTATGGTGACAGGGACTCTGTGTGGCTTCCTGTGTTAGGTCATTTAAAGAAATCCCCACCCCCAGCATATTTTCCCTTGATTATCAGCCTCTGTGTTATGAGAAAGGCTAAAGTAGCCCATATAGAGATCAACATGGAGAAAAACAAGGTCCCCTGCTGGTACTCAGACACAAGTTAAAACCCTAAGATGCATAGAGCACCTCGCCTTTGAGTGAGCTCAGCTAATGGCAAAAAAAGCAGAGATTAAATGTTTCCATTGAGCCTTATCCAAATTGAAGATTCACACTCACAAAAAAAGTCCATTGTCTTTTGCTTCTAAGCTCTGTGCATTCTGTTATACAGTCCTAGTAATGAGACATTTGTAGATTTAAAGCATGGTTTGTTAAATAAAAATATTTAATATTTGAATTAGATAAAATCTGAAAATAAGGCTTCATTATATTTTAAAATTATAAGGTGATTATTGATCATTGTATGATGAGCACTAGTAACTATATCCAATCTTCTCTTTCTCCCTCCCTCCCTTCCTTACTTCTTGCCTTCCTTTCTTCTCTTAATCTATTATTCACCTATCTACTGTATTTAATTTTTCACTGTCAAAATTCGTTTACCAGATTGATCAGCATATCATTTGGTATATAGACAGGATGGTAGGATGTAAGAGATTGCCATTTTTGTAATTTATATAATCACTTAAGAAACAGTTGTATAGATTGAGTATCTCTTATCCAAAATGCCTGGGACAAGAATTCTTTCATATTTTATCGAGTTTGGGGGATTTTGGAATACTGGCATAGATATTGCCCTGTAAACATCCCCAAACCAAAAGTCTGAAATCTAAAATACTCCAAAATCCAAAATTATTTTAGTATCATATACAACTTCAGAGCATTTTGAAGTTTGTATTATTGGATTAGGAACATTCAACCTTCATTGTTTTATATATTAAGAATTGTCCACAAAATTCTGGCACTTTTGTCATTGATATTTTCATTTTCATGTCTAATATCTTGGGGAAAAACTGCATTTGTTGTCAGGATCTAGCTTCTTACTCAAGGATCACCACTTAATGGTGAGTTCCTTACATTTATGAGCCTTGATTGATTCATATTTAAAAGCAGAAGAAAAAAAAATTTACCTAGTTATAAGAAATAAGTGAGATAATAGGTTTAAAGGGTAGAAATAAATTTACTTAAAATTATCTAAGGGGGATAAATGCTAATATATCCCCCTTAGTCACTTTAGTTGGTCATTAATAATACAAATTGGAAGACATTATAGGTTACATGCATATATGGCCATTTCTCTTTAAAATTATCACTCAGCAAGAAAGACTATAGTTTGTATCCTATTTTGAAGGGAAGAATTCATGTTTCTATCTGAAAATGCAAAGGAACCAGAAGTTTAGAATTGTAGGTAGAAAATTGTAGGTTTTCAGAACTTCTCACCTTTCTTCAGGTACTAGTGCAGAAAAACAAAACCAAAAAAAAATTAAATTCACATGAAAGTACTGTGAGAAGACTATATATTCTATATTCCTGGTATATGCAAATTCATTATTGCATATACTATTCTATATTCCCAGTATATTCAAAATCTAAATTTTCTACTAGGAAGATATTTATTTCCTTCTGCCAGGTTGACAACTATGGCAAAACACACATTAATAGCAGTAGTAAGCAAGTAGTAAATTTAAAAATTCACCTTTTAAAAATTTTACATTTTACAAATTTACATTTTTTGTTTCTATTTAAACTTGCATTCATTGACTTCTACAATCTATTCCATTCAAGAATTTTTTTAAATTAATGACAAATATATTAAAAGCACAAATATCTTTCTTAATAAAAAATTTACCAGAATCTTCTGTGGCAGCTGAAAAATCAAACACAATTCCTTTAATAAGAAAAGTGCACTTTTCCATTTAGTAGCACTCATCCATTTAGAGTTCTATCTACTCTTCCCTCCCCTCAAGGTGAAATATTAGAACATGGCTTTCCATTTAAGGAATTTTCTTCCTAGTTTATTTTATACTGTTTATGAATTCATTTATTATATCTAACCTTGGTTACAAAAATAAGACACATTTATGAGAATCACAAAGTTAAAGGGAAAATTTTCAGAAAATCCTGTGTGTGTGTTGGGGGGGGGGGTATCTTTAATTAGTGATGTGTCTAACTTTTTTTTCCTGTTAACATTTTGGGGAAGTATGAATTGGGGAGTTCTCATGTTCCATTTTCTCTTGTAGTTCATTGAAAGAACATAATTACATTGCTCAGCATAGTGGAGACTTTGGAAGTCTATGCATATTAAATGTGTTTTTAACACTACAGTATGGTCTTAATACTGGAGTATAGTCACAGCAGTAACCACCCATAGGAGGTGGTGCACTTTACAAATGGCACTTCTTTTCTGTGTTTCTGAGAATAAAGAAAATAAAGTCTATGAAGCTTTTAGTCTATGTAAAAGTCACTCAAACTATATTGAAATATGAATCCCCTTATATGTTTCAGTGAGTGGTTAAATTCAGTCTAAGATATTTAAATTTCTTCAATTCTAAATATTACACATTAAGTCAAATGTTTAGACCAGAATTTGAGACTGATGTTTTTATTTGTTCTATAACTTCCTTTTACTTACATTCTTGGAAAGTATTCTTATCTCACCTATAGAGTTTTGTTTACATTCATATTTCCTTGTTGAATCTTATATTGATGTCAAAGGATATTTTAAAAAGTAAATAATACTCAAAAGTGAATACAGAATACTCACACAACGTCTATGTAATTGAAGGTATATATATAATTATATGAATATTTTGAGAGGAAAAGAAGGTTTATAATTTACACTATAGAAAGCATTTGTTAAATGATGATGATAATAACGTTGAGAGTTTTATCTTCTAATAATCTAGTTTTAATGATACCTACTACACAACTTTTTCTGTGTTTTAATATTTGAAAACTTTATAACACGAGACCAAGAGAATTTTTCTCACGTTCATGAAGTGACTTGCAATTTAATGCAATGTGCTTATTTTGATTCATGGGAGATTCAGTTCTAATTCAATGTGGTATCCACTGAAAAGTTAACACATTAATAAGGTCCATAATTTCCAAACTAGATCAGTAGTTTCAAAGTTACATTAATCAGAGATTATTTAAATATTTAATCATATTGAAAGGAGAATGAAACCCAAGACCATTAAAACAAAGAGCAATAAGTTCAAAATATGATATCCCAAGTCAAAAGGAACAAAAGTATACAGATCCACAATTTTTACTGGTCAACTATTTTGACTACTACCTCCAGTCTCTTGACTTTCAAAATGCACACTAGAAGGGACAGCATATATAAAAAGTGCAACATGAAGCTTTGTACCTCCAGTGGCATGATAAGTATGGTACACACAATTCTTCAAGAGGTGACATCTTCCTGACATCTGTTGGCTCTCTTGCCAGTACTTTTGCTTGATGCCATCTTTCCTCTTAGCTCATATAGGTATAAATTGACAAGTGATGGTTGAAAAGGTTGCTTCATAGTCCCTTTAATGAATTTGAAGATGCAAAGACATCTTACCTTGAACTGACAGACGCAAGTCACAGTGTCTCCAATTCTTAAACATTCCCCATCAAATTTACAGGTGTTGGTGTCACAGAGGAAGAGATCATTTTCTCTGTCATCATAACCTCAAATTTAAAGAGAACACTCTAGTCATTAAAACGTATTAGATTCACCAAAGGACCACCTTGAATCTTTAAAAGAATTTCCCTCAATTTTAATTCCAACAACCAGGACACTCTCTACCAATAACCTCACAAGCTAGTTAAGTGATCAACAGTCATTTCCATCCTTCACAGATATTTTGTAGCCAATTTTCTTTCAATATCCTCTTTCAATAGTGCATTTCAGCTTGGGTGAATACTGACAACAGTGAATGAAAGTTTTACATTTGCTACCTATCATCTTTTTTTTTTTTTTACTTTTTTGTTCATCAAATGGAATATATATATATATATATATATATATATATATATATATGAAAAATATTTTGGAAAACTCAACATTTTGAGAAAGAGCTGGTGATAGTCTATGAGTGCTATTTTACCATTTCTCCATATTTAATTGTTCTTTTTAAGGTCTGAAACTATCCCTTATTTGGAATTTATCCAGACAAAGAGGAAACAAAGCCCCAATAATAAAGATAAACAGGCACAGTGTATTCTGTGATGGTCTGTCTGGCTCAAATGAAGATTGATCACCTCTAAGTTAACAGGGTAGGAGGGGAGTGCCAAGTTCTTGACAATCTGCCTGGAAAACCAGTCCATTCTTTTCAGTTTGTGCAGATCCCTTTAAGATATCAGGCCAATAATGAATTTCTCTATTGCCAATATTAATGTCACATTTCAGTTAGTTATTTCCCCAAATAATACCACAGTTATGGATGAAGCAAACCAGTCATGTTGGACTAAGAAGCCATCAACATTTGAAACAATTGATCTTGAAGATTATTTAATGTTCTTATAACAAAGCATCTAAAAAGTGACAAGGCACCTACGAAGTAGAAATTATTCTTTCAAAAACAGCTTATGTGCATGCATAAACCAATAATAAATTTTAAAAACGTGAAATTTATAAAAATGTCAAATTTAGAAATCACCAAAAACATAACAAAGATCTATTGACCCAGTGTAACAGGGTTGCAATTCTCAACTTATTTTAAAAAGGATAAATTAAAAGGATGCATAATAATTTTCCTCTTGGCATTTAGATCAGTAATAACTAAGAGCTACATATTCTTTCACTTATAAGTTACAGTTAGTCATCTCCTCCTCTCAAAAGTTACATACACTTTGGCTCACATACATCCCTGAAAGTCACTTCATTCAGAGCCAGATTTTACTGTAGCAGAATTATATTTACAGAAGATGAAAAATTACATGCACACTTGCTAAAACTAGAACACACCAGACCTAGGGGACAATACCCAGGCATGTTAATGGAGTTTAAAACACCAATGAAATCACACCACAATTCCACCTGGTATACTACAGGCTGTCATACTGAAATGCAAAGACTGCTAGGAGTGCAGCAACTCCCATCCTATGGCCCTATTTAATTAGCAGGCTTTAGCAGAGCAAAGGCTGCCAAAGCTCTTGCTTTCAGACTCTAAAGGGACCTGAACAAGTAAGAGGTGCAACAGACCCACTCCAAACCCTGACGGAAATGGAGGAGTCAGAGCCCACAGAGGTCAATTCACCTTCTGTCCCCCTGCATGTGAGCCTTCCCAGCCTTGGTCATACCTACTCTGGCCTGGGAAATTTGTGAACGGTTCCTTCTCAACTTCCCTCCATCACACAGGAGGTTAGGGAAGTAGAGGAGGGGTATCTTTGGACTGCAAAATCAAATACAATGTCTTTTGCAGCAAAGGAAAGAAGGAGAGAAGGGGGAGGAGAAGGAGGGAGGGAGGGAGGAAGAGAGAGAGAGAGAGAGAGAGAGAGAGAGAGAGAGAGAGAGAGAGATTGAGATTGATTGAGATTGATTCTCCTGAAACCTACTCCTTTAGAATCTAAGTGAACTGGTCTTGAATGCAAGACCATCATACTCTCTTGGCACTTTTGCCAGGAATCAGTGATTTCTTCTGCAGTCACCATTTGATTTATTGCTTTCTCGCTTGTTCTTTCTCATAAAGTTATTTCTCGCTCATCCTAGTCAGACTTTTTCTCTAATGAAGGGAAATGTTCTGTTTAGTGTTTCCCATAGGGTTGTTACTGTTTTCAGTGAACCCAGAAAACCATCCCGTATATTTTTCAAAATCCTCGAGGCGTCAGTGTAAGTGCAAGCATTCAAAGGTTCCAGCACCTGCACTTTCTGCCCATCCCAGTAGCCCCCCCCCCCCCCTTCACTTCCCGGAGGGGGGCTGTAACAGCTCCCTGCTTTTCTCTGGATGGAGGTAGGGGGTTTCAGGTTTGGGGCGGTGGGAAACACGAGGCTCGGTAGCGACTGGCCTATGCAGGATAGGAGAGTTCTTCTGAATGGTTAAGGGGGTCGGGTGGGGGGGCCGGGTTCTGGGCTTACCAGAGCAGTTCCAGCCGGTGGGTGTTTGGCAGTCACTTAAAGAGGTAGGGAAAGCAGCGAGCTTCACTGGGCGGGCTACAATGAGTAGCATCACCGGCAGCAGCAGCAGCCAGCAAAAGCCCTCGCAAAGTGTCCAGCTGCTGCACTGCCGCGGGGACTCCCACAGCACCATGACTAGTTCTCGCAACTCTGCAGCAGCAAACGGCTTCTGAAGAACACAGAATTTCGGGGACCAGGCAGCGGGCTACTGAGCATCCCGCGGACGGTGGCAGCAGAGACGGCGGCGGTGGCAGTGACACCCGGCGGGGAAGCAGCAGCCAAACCCGCGCATGATCTCGAGAGTTTCAGCAACATCCAGTGACCCGGCTCAGCCCGGGGAGTGAGAGGGTCCTCCGCTGAGAAGCAACTCCAGAGATGCGATAAGCTCTTGCCATAAGGAGGGGCCTCCAAGAAGCGCAGGAGACAGAAGTCCAGGAGGCAAAGGAGAGGAGCCCAAGGAGGAAGGGTGGAGGGAGAGTCAAAGCGCCCCGCAGCCTAGCAGCCGCCTCTCGCGCTCTGCCGCCCGCATCCCTCTGGCGTTTGGGAAGCAGCAGGTCCTTAGCCCGCCCGGGATCACGTGGGAAGCGGCAGTCGGACGCTGATTGGTGGAGCGGGATGCAGGTCCCGAGAGGGAGGGGTCGGTGAGGAGGTGCAAGGAGGAGGCGGCCGCGGATGCCACAGATGGGCTAGCTTGCCAGGCTCTAGCCCGAATGGAGCTAGGCGCGGATAATTCATGTGAAGAAGCTCAGGCTTCAGGGTGGGCGACCCCCACACTCCTTTATACCTCTTGCTTCACTCTCCGCTCCAGGACGCCCCCTACCGAGCTCAGGGTCCAGAGTTGCGCCTCTCTTATATGCGTGACCCGGGGCTGTGAGCACCCGCCGCGGCTGGATGGCGTCTTCTTGGAGCAGGAGATGGTGGGGGTGGAGGCGGCCGAAGAGCCGCAGAAGCAGGGCAGAGAGGGGAAAGCGGGCAGGGAGAAGAGGGCGTCCTGTAGGCGCCCGGCGCTGAAGCGTGAGGGAGCGCGCCGCCTGAGCTATATGAAAGCTGGGAATGTCGCGGCGGAGAGCCCAGGGACGTTTCTTTAGACAGTAGCTGAGAGGAGAGGGTGAGAAGCGATGGTGTGAGTGTGAGAACAGCTCTGGCAGGCCTGGAAGCAGCATTTCCCACAGGAACCTGCAACCCCGAGGCTGCTCGCCACGCTGGCTCAACCAGCCTTGCAAGCTCTTTCCTCTTCCGAGTCTTTTTCTCCCTTCTTCCCTTCCTGGCCTCCCGCAGCTCCGACCCAAACCAAGGGGTGGAAGATTTGAATCCCAGTCTCCCATCACACGCTTTTCTCCAGCCCAGAGTCTGTATGTTGCTGCCACCTGGAAGGTGCGGCCAGATGTGTTTCGAAGGTCAGATTTGGTCGGGACAAGTGGTCTGAGAAGAAAGGAAGGGCTCCTCTGCATAAGCCAAGGGTGGGTTCCCGGGAGCGTCCGCTGGGAAGCAGCGTCCGGGAACAGCCGGCTCACTTTAGCAGCAGTGGCAGTAGCCCTGGGCGCTTTACGCAGGTCTCTCTACCTGATCACCAGTGACCTGGAGAGGCTAGAAGGTCTAAATTGGCAGGAGTCTCTGGCCCTGCGCGTTTCTTTATTTCGCTCCAGCGGGCACTGGGCAAAACGGCGTAGCGAGACCCGCCTTCTGCCTGCTGCATTCTTCACGCAGTTAGACACACTCTTTAGCCTAATGGTTTTTTAGTCCTTAGGACCCATAGCTTTCTGGGACCGGATGAAAAGGAGCATCTTTCTCCTGTGACTCGGTCACTACTGCAGTCGCGGTGTTTTGGATGCCCTACAAGGAAGAGTTGCAAGGAAGAGTTTTCTTTTTCTTTCTTTTTAAAAATTATTTTTTTCTCCTTCTCTCTCTCTCTCTCTCTCTCTCTCTCTCTCTCTCTGTATGTGTGTGTGTGCGCGCGTGCGTTGAATGATTCAGGATTTTCTCCCCTTCTCTCTGCACCCTCCTTCCTCTGAATTCCAAACCCCCCTCTTCTGTCTCTTCCTTCTCTTTCAAAAACCTTCATAGCTTGTGTTTCTCTCTTTAAATTTTCCTTTCTCCTCTCTTCTTCTGTATCCCCTGAATTTAGCACAGCGTTGTTTGATAGCATCTAACAGGCAATTAGTGTCCATTCCTAATCACTTAAAAAAGACACCAAAATACTTTGAAAATGGGGAACATCTATCTTTTTCAGACACCACCAGAAAAACAAATTGTGCCCCAGCAATCTTTTTAAGTACTTTAACCTCCGACCTCCTCCCACTTCCTCGCTTTTTAACTTCTCCTTTGAGAGATGTGATCGTGCAGCGCCTCGGTGCCTCAAAGAAATCCTTTTTTCTCCCTATGTGAAACCCATCCCTTTATCTTGCATCTCCGCCTCCATCCTAAGGCTACCTCCCCCTCCCCCGCCCACCTCCAAAGATTTCTGAATCTCAGTGTCTCTCACTCCTGGCAATTAAGCAGCGGATCCCAGCATTCTAGTCAGTGGCATCTCGCTCCTCACCGACGAAGACTCCATTAAAACAGATCAATTTGACCAGACGTTAGAGGCATCAGAAAATCGGCTTCTAGACAGAGCAGCTAAATTCTTTAAGGAAACGGAATGCTCAGTAGATACAACTGCCAAGCGATATTGCAAAAGCAAGAAATCAGAGATGCCTTTCAGTAGAGACAGCAACATAAATATAAGCTTAATGTAAATCAAGCTATAACAACTCCACAGTACAGATTGAGAACATGCCATTATCCATAACAAGGCTGGTGTGGTAACTAATCAGGCTTATGAAAATAAGCCATGCTTGAAACTAAAGCAAAAGTCCTTAAAAGTGTTTATGCAGTAATTATGATAATGAAATGAGACCTGCAAAGATTTCAGGGCTTGGCTATTTAAGTACAATTGTACAGAACCTCTTAGCAGAGGATAACTGTTATTGAATTCTTTGCTAAGTAAAATTTTGGCATGCTTTCTAGTAATATGTATTCTTCCTAAGACATTTTTCCCAAAGTAACTTAAAACTCCAAAGGAGTTAATTACTGGTTGTGACTGGTTAACAAATACAGTTGCTTCCACAGAGGTTCTTTAAATTATTAAACAGTTCGAAACAAACCCTTTCCAATGGGAATGCTGTGATTTTGTTCTCCTTACTATGTACTTAGTGTTATAGTGCCACCAAGAAACAAATTTTAAAACTGGCAAGCACCACCAAGTGGCAGAAGAACATCATTCACTGAACAGAGCATTGTATTGTTGAATATGTAAATAAAATATGTATGCTGTTTCGACTCATCATTAGGCACCAAGGAAGCAGACAGGAATAAAATTTTATTGCAATGAAGATTGTATTAATGATTGGATTAGGGCATTGACTTTTCCCCAACAGGGTCAAATCAGTTTACTTATTTGAATTAAATTTAAAACCATGTCTATGAATTGTACCTTATGTTGTATATTATATAATTAGAGTATGATCCAATCATATCATGCATTTACAAAGTTCTCATTTTAAAATAGTATACAATATTAGTTTTCAATAATCCTGAGCTAGAGCACTTTATTTTGGCATACACACCCTAGAACTGGTGCAGAGGGATAGAGTCAAGTTGTCATATTTTAAAGTAGAAATAGCACAGAGAATTTTTTTTTTAATTACAGAAAACTTTTCAAAAGGTTTTAGTGGGAAGGACTGAGATGTAGCTCAGGGACACAGTGCTTGTCCAGTCAGTACAAGACCCTGGATTTGTCCCTAGCACTCATTGAGAAATATGAGAATACTCAAATCTTAATGTGATTTGGGGAGAGGAAAAGAAATTATTCCAGAATAAAAATTATTTAAGATAGACAAAAGAACCTGGGAAAATAAGACACAAGGGCAATTAGAACTATTTTTTTCCTTCCTGACCTCTAATATTTTCTGGTAATTTTAATAACAATAGGAATGTGGAGTATGCTTCTTACCGTGTCATACATTGTCCTGTGAAAGAAAAAACGTTAATTGTATTTTTTCTCTACAAGGCCCCAAAGAGACAATTAATATCATTATTTGCATTTCACAGAAAAGAAATATAGCTTTCAAAGCATCAAGCAACTTGGGCCTCAGCAAAATTTAGACTGATTTCAAAACATAGGGAGCAAGTCAACATTTCCTGCTGTATCAATGCTTCTTTACCTTTGAGAAAGGGAAGTGTATCTGGTAATATATAAGCTCTTCCCCTAAAAATTTTTTATTTCTCTTTTGTTTGGAGCATCACTAAGATCCAAACTCATCAAATCTCAAATAGGAGCAATAACATACAGTGGTTTTTTTTTTTTTTTTTTTTTTTTTTTTAATCTGTTGATCATATGATTACTTTAAAAACAATTTAATAGAAAACTTCCAGGTCCCATTAACAGGAATTCTGATTCAAAAATTCTGGAATTGGACCCTGAATATTTTAATATTCATTCTTGAATGAGAACTAAGGTACCCCTATACTTAAATGACAAGTGAAAGGGTATCTGGACTTTTGCTCATTTTTCATAGGGCTTCGGATAGAGAGGTTTTTAAAGACAGAATAAAGACTAAAACTCAGTGTACAGATAAGCTGTGTCTGTCAGTCTATCATTGATATTTACCATATATATTGATCCTAATATGTATTACTTAGTAAGTTTGTAATTAGTTTTCTCATTTATACAATGTGAGTAAAAATAACACCTCCTAGGGTTGTTCTGAAGATGAAGAGATAAATAATGTATTATTTAATGGTAATGGTTTTGGGGGGAACACTTATATAAATGAATGAGTAAACAAATGAATGAATGATTACAGAAATGTATGTGTACTTAGATGCATGATTGAAGGTAATTAAGAGGGTACAAATAAAATTATGTGCTTGTGATATTAAAGTATTTGATTAGTTGATTGTAGATAATTTGAAGTATGATATTGTTTCTCTTTCTATCCCCATACCTTAACATTTTATCCCATAATTTAAATAGGCAGGTAGATAGATAGTATACCCCCAATAAATATTATTAGTTTTCATGTATAATATTAACATGTAAAATGTATATTGCCAATATGTAATAAAGGGATCAGAATTTTGTTTATGATGACAGTGTTTCAGAAAAACCATCTTTATTTCTGATTGATATTTTTAACTCAGAGTGATTCAGAGAACTATTTTCTATCCTTTTTTTTACAGTTAGTAATGTATAAATTATGAGCTGTGATTTAAAAAAATAATTTTATAAAGTTTCTTTATTTTTTTATTGATTCCTGTGCTCTTCATTATTTTTTATTGTTCATGTTTAAAAGATGTCAGTACTGGATAGTATATTTCATCTTAGGACAGTGGGCCTCAGTCATAACCTCACTGGAAATTAAAATAACACTAATGCAAAGTTCCCACCCAAACCTGGAAACTCTCAGAATGACACAAAGACATTTTTTAACAGTTTTCTTGATGATTATAACATATTCCCCTGACTGTTATCTTTCTGGGGACAGTGAATAGGTGGGTGGCTTGTTCCTCATTATATAGATATCCAAATTTCAGGAGGTAAAAGAGTGCTTTCTTTTCACTTAAAGCTTTTTAAATGAACGCTTCACACAAAGTGCCCTTTGTTTAACCAGTTAGTGAAACAGTTAATATTTGCCATTAATTTGCAACTAGTTTAGAAAAAAAGAAAACCAAAAAACCCTTAAAATTCAAAACAGTCTATAATAAGCTCAATGCAATTTTATGTCCTTTTTATTTAAAAATTCAAATAGTTTCCCATGGCTATTATTTTGATCATTATTTTCCCATGGCTATTATTTTAGCCTTATATAAGAGCTTAGTCTATTACTTTTCTTGAAATTTATTATGAAACTTATTTTTTTGAACCAGGAGCTAGAATCAGTTTAGGATGAAATGCTTTTCACATCTGTCTTTGGCTACTCATGGTTTCTATTGGCTTCTATTACAAAGAATCACTAAGGTGGTTTACAACTTATGTCATTAGCACCATCCAGTCTATTATGTTCTGAGCATTTTATTCATTTATTTCTCACAATACACCTCAGTCATTTCTCCCTCTATTATCTATGACAGTAGATCTCGTAAGCGCTAATAATTCCTAGCCACTTTGCATCTCCTGTCTCTGTGTTGGAAGGAAGGAGGAAAAAGAAGTGTGAAAGTAAAAAAAAAAAATGTGGAGAGGGAATTTTGTCATACCCTAAACTTGGTAAATGCTTCCTATAAACACTCCTTCACAGTGTGCATTTACATACTAAAGGCTCTGAGGAGCC